TCGATAAATTCTCCTCGGGCCGTTACAATTATATAGGGAGGGGTGCAAATTAATTTTCAAATTTGCACCCCTCCCTATATAATTGTAACGGCCCGAGGAGAATTTATCGAAAACTACGTGAGCTCGCCAAATACTCTTCTGAATTATCTGATGGGAATTTTCGCAACTTTAAAGGAATTTAAGAGATTTCTTACCCGTTGCCTCTGCGTGGAAGACCCTCGGAAGGCTATTCGGAGAGGAAGTACAGAGTGTCATCCGAATTTGTCAAAATTGATAGAAAACATGATACCGACCGCTGCGCCTCAGACGAAAGTTCAGAATAGCAGTTCTATATTTGCCTACTGACGTCATCTTATAGAATACAGTGCCTGTCCGACAAAATAAAAGAGATATGCTGAGGAACGTATTGTCTGCAGCAAAGCGGTTAATACTTTTTCACGGTTATACCTTCCAAGGTTGCTAAGAGTTTACCGGTAATGTTTCAAAACTCAAAGATATCGCAAGGATTTTTCATGCCTTACGTAGTTCATTTTTGTGCAATATCAAATACGCCACATGACTGAGGTAAAATATTCTTTTTCAAGATAATCTTGTTCTCGGTATCAATGTACAATAGGAAACTCTGAGGGTTAGTACAAAAAGCAAGCAAATCAGTTGTGGAATACAAACTTAACGGCCCGAAGGATAAAAAAGGCGGGTAATTGGACAAGAAGGTGGACGTTTGGCAAAGAAATGTCAAAAAAACTAAACAAAAGTAAGATTTATCATCGCCCATCAGGCCTTTGAACGGGATCTTTTGTCACAAGCATCTTGCATATTCTGCGCAATCTTACAGAAGAAACACAGACTAGGATTAATACGATAAGGAGGAGGGTGCCTAAAATCACATTAGTCCATAAAGACAAGAAAAGTAATCTTTTGGATTCGTCGTCTTTTGAACAAGTGCTTGCATCGCTGACCAGACTGGCCCGTGTAAAAGCAGCTACAATGCTCTTTACGTCCTCGCAGCTGCAGCAATCTGCCTGTGGAACAGAACGTGCAGTTCTTCTTGTAGAAACAGCGTTTAAGTCAATGATGGCTTGGTCATTCTGCAGCATTTCCGACCTTGCCTGTCTCGCCTCCTTTTTGCCACAATGTTTACTAAGTGTTGTTTGGTCTGCGGCCAAAGCAAAATAGTCCCGGTCGGGACAAAAGAAAATGAATTCTACGCTGCAGACACTACTGTCTTCATCGTTGGTTACAGATAAGCCAGCATCTTCGCAATCCTCTGCTTTAAATGAGTCTAGCCTAAGCGGTGTGAGTATACCTTTATCAATGGAGGTAGTGTGACCGAGTTGGAGCGACAGACGTCGTAACCAGACTGATAGGTGTTTAAAGTCCTCATGGTGAAGTTGTGCAACTGAGATCTCAAGTGTGAGATAGAGAGTTTCCGGGGTTGGCACAGTGGACATAAGGGCTGCTCTGATAGCTAGAGCAAAACCCTCCGATAAAAAATCCACAACAGCCTCGTGATCCTGATCTG